TTTCAGAGACAATCGACTGTTCAGACGAGACACAATACGTGGCTGTCAAAACCAGAGTCAGGGAATGAATATAAGTGGAGGAGATGTGATAACATTACAAAGCAATATGAGATGACACAGCAGGGCTTAGCCAGCCAAAGCTCTTAGAAAGGCTATAATATAAAGGAAATACTACAAAAAATATGAAATATATATATAAAACTATTTTAAAAACATTTAATTAGTGTTGCAGGAAATTGTGCAGGGAACTTGTCCTCGGTCTGTTTCTTCTGTTTCTGTTTATTTGTATCAGAGAATGTTTGGGTAAAAATAGTTTTTAAAATTGATGTCACAGTAATTTAAGCTGTTTGTCAATTCCAAATCAATTCATTATAGCTCTCTGGTTAAATTAACTGCATGTGTCACAGGCCGCCACGACAACAGTTCAATCTGGTAACTGATGATGACGACTTTGTCTCAGTTCCATGTTTGACATCAAACAGCCAGGTTTGCCGTCAGGTGTCTGCTGTCCTGGGCTGGCAGTGCAGCCTGTTAGAGTGCTTTGCTGATTTAGAAGACAAGTGGTGTGGCCTGGTATTGAAAGCTGTTTTTACGAGGCTGGAGAGCACAAAGAGATGCTCAGTGGATCAGGCAGATGGCCAAGACTGTGCCAGCTGAGCAGTTTATCCTCTAAACACAACCTTTCCCTCAGCAGTGTCCCGACCCTCGGTCACCCTGCAACATCAGTGAGCCTCTTACTAGGAGACAGTGGTGTTGTTGGTCACGGCCGCTGTGAAAGTTCGCATAAAAATGTGGAACATTAGAAACCCACAATTGAGGATATGAAAGTAAGCTGCAAACAGACTGGGGTTTGTACATCACAGACTCCTCAAGTGTAAGGCTGTAACTACAATCTGTAGTACACTTAGAATCAGCAGCAACTATAGTCAACAGTCAACAGTCTAAGTTTTTGACTCTTGAACAATTAAAGATATTTGGTCTTGACAGTTAAGAATAGAATGTGGAAAATCAATAAATTATGTGCATGTTTCAAAAAGAAAGACTTAGAACATAACAGTAGTTTTAATGCTTCATCCCCTGAAGGGATCAATAACGTTCAAACAAACCCTCCAACAAAAATGTGTTGCCCGTGCAAGTTATCTGTTGGACACTTATATCATTACTTATTACCTGCTCCATGTGATGTTAATCCTCCACCACATTACAGGTTGTAAAATACGAGTGGTGTTCAGAACATAACTGTCTGTCTCAGCCTGAGGCGGCACCAACACTAACCTTTCTCCACTGACAAGGAGAACAAGAGGAAGCCAGTCAGCTGAAGGTTGCAAAGGCAACTGATGCGTACAGGGGGGAATTTCCCTAAACCCACACAATCTTCCCTGAACTACACCACACAGAGACATGTACGAGGTTTACAGGGGAAAAAAAAGGAAGAAGCAATGACCGGTGAATGAATGTGCCACTGTCACTGCCCTCATCTAACTAAAGGCACGGTTGTTTCCATGGCGGCAATTCTTGGCAGCAGTGTGTTAATGATGATGAGAGGAGTGTTCTCAGTCTGTGCGCGCTGGAGTTTTGAGAGAAGCCACGCTGGGAGGGAAAGTGAGAGTGAAAGTGGAGATGAAGAAAGTCGCTGGAGGGGTGGTGGTCGTGGTGGTGGAGTCTGGGGGGGGGCTTTGATATGTAAGGCAGATTAAAAGTTAAGAATCTGCTAAACAGGATAAATGTTGTTTTATTTCAATTCAATTGTAAGGGGAACCACAGTAGTTTCTAAGAAATGGGCTATAAAAAAAGTCATCAACTGAACACTGGATGTATATAAATCCAACCCTGTATCTCATTCAAAGCATTTTTTACATGAATGAATTAAATGTGAATGTACATTTAGCGTACAGTGATTTTTTGTCGGGTGTGTTTCACAGATGGCAAGTCGTGGAGACATTTTTAGATGTATACAATAGAGTTGTTCTGCATTGTTCTACAGAGATGTATACTTACAATAACTGTGTGCTAACACCTAATCTGTATCAGTCAACATTTCCTCAATTCTCTTGAATAAGCATAATTCATTTATTTTTATCAATGCCTCGCGAGTCTAACGACTGAGGTGGGAATGGAGTCCATTAGAGACAGGAAGCCTTTGCACTAGCAAAATGACTCCTCTGTTTGGAGGGGGTTTATAAAACATTTAAGTCTCGTTGAACCACAAACACCCTGTGGGACCTGACAGCCACAGCTGCAGCCACAGCACCTACTGTATGAACGGCACCATGAAATTGCATGCACATTCCAGTAACAGACTTATTGGTGTATTTATCATGTTTAATGAAGGACTACAGTTTAGCTGCTAATGTCCTGGTGTGTTCGGAATAATAAGGTCAATGGCCTGATTTCCTTGTGGGGACATATTGAAGTATTCAGCAATATAAAACCCGTAAAGGATAATAATAGGATAAACTACAGAAGGCCTTGAAAGGCTGCAAACCTCAGTCAATGCCGGTCAGTTGTCACGTCTAACCGTTGTAAAAAAATATCTCCTCGTGCTTTCAACTACATGCACATACAAATTAATTTTGGAGATGCCGACAAGACTTTTTTGTGTACTCAAACACTGTTTGGATGGTTCTTCCTCTGCACCCTGAACATATTAAGACATAGTAAGTAAGAGTTTGCATGGAACTGTGTCCATCATTGAAATCCATATTGACTATCTGGTTCTATCTGGTTGCTGTGTTCTGAACCGTGACAAATATCTCCAGAGGGTTCATGTGTGGGTTCATTGTTGACAGGTAGTTCGCAAGAAAGTAACACTAGAATGGAGGAAGATGCACACAGGAAGTTTATATTGTGTGCAGGAAATGCCCTGTGAAAGAGGGCAGGAGATTGTAAAGTGATGCCGGAGGGAAGTGAAGAAAAGCAGCATGAATAGTTGTTTGTATCTGTAACTGTTGTGTGATATCAAGTAAGAGGGACAGAGTTACGGCAGAGGTGAGGATTTAATGGTGGAAACTAAAGAAGGACAAAAGTTGCAGAGAGTTTGGAGTAGAGCTGGGGTAACATGGAGCTTTTGTATCAGAAGACTGGGTAAGAACAGCTAAGGTGGTGGGGGGAAACTTTGCCAGGCACCTGTTTGTCCTACAAACCTGTTCATATGCTTTTTTTTGATTGACATGTCATTTTGCTTCATCTCACTGGTGTTTTTACATCTGTTGACATTCTCCAGTTGAGGTACGTACACCCTCTGAATGTGATCCTCTATAATCATGATCTGTCCTACACGGTGGCTTATTTCTTTACTTCGAAGAAATATGATTTGAAATGCTACATATGTTTAGAATACCACTATACATTTAAATTTCAAAAAAAATTTAAATTAATTTTGTGTCACTGTTTTACCTGAGTACCTTGTCATGTTCATTACAGAGCTCCTGTTGTTTAAGGTGCACTGTACTACAGAGTATGATAAAAAAAACATCATGTGACAAAGAATGTTTATAAATCAATGTTTTTTCTTCTTCAAGATGTTTTAAATGAGCAGAAACCTGTTATATTAATGTGTTTGAAAGCTACACATAACAGGACTGTATTATTATGTTATTCTACACTGACTCGTTCTATTTGCATTGTGACTAATAATTGCCTCGGCGGCTGGCACTGTTTCACTCTCCATTATTTTGCTACTAAGTGCTTTTAATGATATTCAAGTCGTTGTTAATGTTTCCCAACTAAGCAGCGAGCAGTGGGTTGACACCTCAGATTGTGACACTGCTTGTACCGGCTTTCTTGTCAAAAAAAGCCTTTACAGAGTGAAGAACACAGAAGAGGTGTGATGACTATAATCCCAGTGGGAAGGATTTCAGTCTCATCATTTCAATTATAATAAGAAGGATGATCTAGGGAGGAAATACATTAATAGCTCCATCAATGACTGCTGGTGTAAATAATGACCACAGGCACTTCATATTTTAAGTGATAATAGTCACTAGAGAGAATAATGGATTCCAGTAGATCAAAATAGATGTTTTTACCTGCAGTTTGTCCTCTGGAACATTCAGCCAGTGGTTAAAAGCCTGGGCAAGCTTCGTCCTGACTTGTTTAGCTGCAAAAACAACAAAATAGCAAAAACATTAACCATTTTAAAAGACAGTGGTGTATAATAAGCTTCATTATTGATGAGACACCACTTTCCAAAAAATAAATACTTTCCAAGAAGCGAATCCTTTGGACCTACAAAAACACTTGGTTTAAAACATGGCAAGAAATATTTGGATTGAAATATTAAAGTAAGCCCTAATGACAGAGTGATATTCTAATATTGGATAACATTTTTTGACAAAAGTACTAAAGTTTCTGCGACATGTTAAAGTGAAATCATTCAATTGTAACATCACAAAATATATTTTTTAAACACAATTCATAGCCAGAGATCAATTTCAAAATAGGTATTAACACTCAAGTGTAATCTGCTCATTGCATCCTAACTGCATTTTAATGTCACACTGAAAGAAATTCAATTCCTTTGCTGAAGGGACAACACAGCCTTTTGCAGATTAAGGCACTTGGTCTGATGAATGAGGTAAGCTTTGTCTTTAATCATCATATACCGTTGCTTTTCAGGACAAGGAAAACTCTCACCTGGCAGTTGCAACAAATACTTGTATGGCTCCAGCAGAATCCTCTCAGAGGCTGACTCAGAGTCCCCGTCCATTGCTTTGAGTGGATAACAATCTGTATAACAAGAACAAAAATACAAAGAATTGTCAGCAGTAACATAGGGACTGACAGACAAGCCAGGTGCGCAATGCATCTCCAGTGAACTGAGCTTTGCAAAAAGCCCTGTACGTAAGTTATAAAGGATTAATGTATGCAAATATTTGTGTGGTGGAGTTTGATGCAACCTGCACCTCAGCCATTGGTGCAATTTGAGCTTTGTTAACACAAGGTTGAATTGACTAGTGACTCTTAACCTCCCTAAGATCTTTGGGTGGGGCTATTTGGGTTTATTAAGAGTTTCCCAGGATTCAAAATGTACAGCAAACATGCTTTGGTGACAATATTTGGTATTTTATGTGATCTCAATACTGGAATGCACTAATTATACGTTTTGATAATATGGACTTCCTTGCAGATGATCTACACATACATTTTATTTTTATTATATTTATTTGCAATTTGTTCTGGTAATGGTATAATGTATTTGCGATATCCATGTCCTATTTGCTATGTAAACAAAACTAACTATACATGCCATATGGACCTTATTTTCTTACACTACAGCCTTGTGCCACATGGTGATGTGAAGCGCCTCCCTAGTTTTATTGCCACACTGACGTTAGTCTTTTTTTTTAATCTATGAAGACAATCGTTCATCCTGGTCTTGAATGTCTGAATATTGTAATTGTTAGATACATCTGAAGAAGGTCCCAATGTGTTATCAATCGTTTAAGAATTACGAACACTATTTCAACGTAGACTTCAATACGACATATTATTTCTTTAAATTTGTAATTGTTTTAATCAAAATTGGAGTTGTGACTTGCACACCAGGCGTATCTGCCACACATTCTTTGTAACGTCAGCCGGAAGTCTCACGGGAATAGTCATAGAAATGTAGTCTTGAAAATGCGCCCAATATCTTGTAAACAAGCGCCACTTACCTTAGTTATGAGAACAGAAAGCCGTCTCGTCGTTCCTCAGTAGTAGTTACACAAACAGATTGGAAGCTAACAGGCTAACAATAGACAGTGATACAATCGCTGTACAATAATATCACCACTTCCAAAATTATTTTATTTCCAATGTGTCCAGTAGAGGAACGCGCTACGGTTGAGATACATCATCGCTCTAGTTTCTTTTTGTTACAAATGTAACTGCCCGACAAACCGGTTGCTTTGCTAAGCTACAATGACGGAAGTGTAAAATCACCCTCCCAATAGACTCCAGAGCAGGCGGTGAGGGCGAATGTAATATATATATATGCTTCGGATTCCGTACAGAGCAGGCGCGGAGTACATCGGATAGTTGTTTGTTACATTTATATATCTACATTTCCCGCTAAGTTCGAACAACTGGAAATATTTGTCTCCGCTTTGCCGGGACAATTGTGACAATATATTAAACGCATCTACACGCTCCAACGCGGTAGGTTGTAGTTCTATGTCATTTTTCTGGCTATACCGCGACAACCAAACTGCGCTGTACTGTGGATGTTTTTCCCCCCAGTTCAACCAATAATGTAGTGTAAGGGTGGTTCTTTTTGCGTTGTTACCCAGTGAGCTTGCAGCGTTTGGAGAAAGGCGGGTTTAATGTTGTTGTCAATCATTCCCACAGAAAGAGCTCGGCTTCAGAGGAGCTACTCAAGACAAACAGCAGCGCTGTGCGATAACGACTTTTACCCATCCGCATCCAACATCAACTGGGAGCACACGGACGACGTCAAGACCGTTCGTTTTTATCACATAAATGATTCTATGGATTACTAATACCTTTCCGACGAAAAACAGAAGTATTTCTCAACTTGACGGCATTGGTAAGTCGGCTTTTTGCACGGTATATTTTGAACATTTTCACCAGCTCGCTCCTGTTTCGTCCAAGCCAACCTTGACGTTAGCTAACTTGTCAACTAAAACGGTGATGTTTTTAGGAGAGGTTTGAGGAAATGAATGAATTGGACCACCGAGCAGCAGATGATTAAAAAACTAGCGATCGAGAATGCAGAGTAAATAAACTTGGATCAGCTCGATAACAAAGTTATGTTGTAGCCAGCAGCCAAATGAGGTTGAGGAGCACAGTGAGAGGTTATGCTGCTCGGGCTTGAATAGTTTCACGGCTGCTGGACGAGCACCGGGCTGTTGTGTTGTGTTGTTGAGCGGAGGAATCCTCTGGGAGGTTGGTCGTCGAGCAGCGCCTGTCATGGTTGATCTCTGTTAGCCGTCAAAAGTGATATTATTATTACGAAACATTATGCAGAAATCTGACGTCGCCTCGGGATGTGATTTGTCGTGCATCGACCGAACCGTGTAGTTCTTACAGGTAAAATGCTTTCTCCTTTTGTGCCTCCACCGTTCTCAGATGTTGGTTTACTTCACTGGGACTGACTTGTGTGCAGTGTGGGTTGAAGAAGGATTGGTTAATATCCTGTGTCGAAGAACTTGCAGGTTCGATCTGCCGTAGCGATAGAACTGCATGTGTGGTGGACTATTTTCTCTCAGTCTTTGGTGTTGTGTGTGCGTGACTTGTGTTTCGTACATTTCCGCGACATGCAACATCACCACGATTAAACCGGACCATGGACGTGCCAATTACAGAACAGCTTGAAAAGGCTCCGTGCTTTCAATGAACGTGTTTTGTTGGAACAGTAGGGGGAGAGGCAGTCGAGGCTGGGGCTGGTCGGTGTGTGTTATTGTTGCTGGTGGTCAGCCACTGTCTTGCAGCGAGCGGCTGGGGTAAGCAAATCGTCTGGGGCGGATGACATTGTATCCTCCGCGATCATTCAGAGAGTCACCGACCAGGGCTGCGACCTTGGCTCCTGTTCTATCAATGAAACGCTGTGTTTTAATAATGCGATGTCTCCCTCCAGCTTGACCTTGTTGCGAACCACTCCGTGGATTTGTTTCTTTGTTAGAGAGATACAACCTCCTGAGTGAACCGTCAGCGAAATGCCAGACCAGTCGATAAAAGGGAACATTTAGAGAACAAGAAAGTGACTTTCAGTAGATAGGCTGGTTTGCACCACCATAAACCAATTTTGTTCTAGTCAATGAGTTTTCCCCTGCACAGCTTTTATGTGATATGTCATTTCTCTAAAGTGTTGCGTTGTGATCGCCCCGTTTGTGCTGTGGAGTGTACGCTCTCTCCGCAGAGATCAGCGCTGCGAGACAAGAGAGAGAAACGAAAGGGGAAACTGGCGGCGTCGAAACTGTTTCCCTGTTTAAAAAACAACAGAATACAAGGCTGGTCTCTGGGGGAGGAATAGCTCTGATAGGAGCCCGGTGAATAACAAGCACCGATCCTGCAATTTCCACAGTTTATGTTCTCCTTTTCGGTCGACTGTCAGCTACAGAAATGGCGTCATCCTCTGCTGTAGTGCTGCTATAGTCAGTGCGGTGCAGACAGACCACGCTGCCGCTGTACGCGGAGATCCGAACAGCGTGTGGCTTCCACCGTGTCTGTGACTTCAGCCTCGCCTGCTATACACTCCGTGCTTTTGTGGCTGTCGCCGGAGTGGCCAGCGGCTGCTTTACTCTGTTTGTTCGCCCATCGTGGCCACAAGCTCGTGTGTGACGGCTGACTGAGTGCACTACACTGGGCATTACATAAATGGCTTTTAAAGGCTGAGCGAAAGAGAGTGATCAGCCTGACACGGCTTACTTTGTAACGCAGATATTGTTAGGACTGAAGCCCATAGACACGTCATTCACGCATCGCTTTGGGTTTTTTCAGTAAAGGACATTTCAACTCAGTAACAGGCTAAGAAACCTCACTCGAGCCAGGTTTTAATGTGCAGACAGTGTGTTTTGGAAAGCCGTGTTAAGTGATCATCCACCGCCCAGCCTTTTCTGGGCAGAACAAGTGATGTCATCATAACACAACCCTGTCTTGTTGTGGCAGATCGAGCTGGCACTATCGATGGGTAGGTTTCAAGCACCCCCACATCAAAACAAAATAAAATGAATCAGAAACACTGTTTCTGGGGAACTTTTTTGTGCTTGAGAAAAGTGGGAAAGTTGTTATTGATTAAAGCTAACAGCATCATTATGTAGAGGCTGATTGAGTGACTAAATTATGTTTCACCTGCACTGGAAAATGGTCAAGATGTCTGGACGAAAGATATATACACTGATTAAAATTGACAAATTCACACTGTTGAACAATATGATTTTTTTCCACACAGATCAAATGGCTTTGTAATATACACAGGCTTTTATAACAACAAGTCTAATCTAAGTGATCACAATAACACATCCCTCCTCTACTTCATTTTTAACTTCAGCCTGGCAGTATTCAAATAAATACAAACTTGTAACAGCTCTGGCAGATATACTTCAGGAGTCACACTTTCTGGCATGCTTACACTGGTTGACTGCCTCTGCTAATTTCGGTGTAAAAGTGGTTCAAATGGACCTCTCCAGCAGTTGCTCGCAATATCTGTGCCCCACTTAGAGGGCTGCAACCCATGGATCCGTTAGCTCATGTAGCTTTTGGGGAGTCAATTAATACAAAAATGTAGATGCATTAATGGTATAATAAAAGAGACGACTCTCTCTTCCTGTGACTAACTTTAACAACATCTGGAAAAATAATCCCTGTTGATTCACCATATGAATTAAGATATTAGCACCAGATACAAAAAGAAGCCACGCAGGACTGCCAGTACCAGTTTTAAGAAAACATGTTCTAAATTGTGTAAATCACAAAATATAGGGGAGAAAATCCACTCAGTAAAACAGGAGTCTGTACGTGTGCAATGTCATCACTGTCATCCTGTTGTTAGAGTATTACATAATGTACTATAAGCTCATAAATGTCACTATTGCAATAGACATGACCTCACAGTTTTCACACATCTGTCATCTTTCAGTGTGTTATTGTCACGTAGGCCTAATTTGCATGAACTTTATCAGACAAAAGTGGAAAAAAGTGTTTTTTAATGTTTTTGCTGACAAACTGATTGCTCATTGTTAAATGTTAATAGTGAGGTACTGTCAATCCATTGTCAGTTTGAAAAATAATGTTTTGTGTATTGTAGACACGAACAAATTTATATACTTTTTAACAAAAGTATAGATAAAAAAAAGATTCAGTGAGTCGATCAAAATCTCTGTTCAAGGCCAAGTGCTGCTAATATGCGTGACCTTTAAGCCCTTAGCTGGCGTTGCTAAGAAATCCCCCATACAACTGTGATTGATGAAACCACATGGGAGTCATTTTCACTTACTAAAGTCAACTGCTGCATCAAAAATGCTCCCTAAGACAGTGTGATGAATTAAATATGTCTGACCTATCATGAAGAAGGGAAGAAGATAAGATAACTGTGGACCGTTTTCCAACACAAGACAAGTGTCAAGTGTGATACTGTTTGTCAACTAGAATAATGTCGGTCAGTGAAAACACCACAACGTCTTATTAAAGTACAGATCTTGTTTGTATTGCCTTTCTATAATGTGCACCTACTCTCCTAGAAATTTTCTTTTTAATTATCATATCAGAAAATGACCATATGATTACACACTTTCTCTGACTGACAGCCACACTGACAGGAACCATGTGTAATAACACAATCAGTAACCTTGCATTCTGAAATTCACAGAAATTTTCCCAGAAATTGTCAGGTCTTAGTTTGTTTGTAAAATATATAAATGTGTTCTTACTATATTTTTAGCATGTTGTAGTTGGGACTGACAATGTTAACCTGTTTATCAAGTAAAGGTAAAAAGCAAACACAAGAGCAGCAACAACAGGAATAGAATAATGACATAATCAACAGCACCATGTATGTGTAATTAAACCAAACAATATTGAAACATGTCTTGACAGATAGCACATGATCAATGATCACCCTGCTCTTTAAGGACCAGAGCAGTGATGTCATCATGACTGTTTCAGTAACAGCCTTTCTAACCTCTCTTTGCAGCCCACGATTCGTCACACTGGTTACCCAGAGGACACATTGGCAGATGAAGGTAAATACTTTTTGTTTCTTGTTCCCATGGAGTTTGCATCCCTTTGCTGTGCCTGTCATGTTTTATTGTTTATTGTTTTATATATGATTTGGTCTTGCTCAAACACAAGATTCAAGTTTTAAAGGAAAATAGCAAAAGAAGTGTATTTATATAGTTAATATGATATTCAGTTTCCAGTGGTTTCTGTTGTTTTTTAAAACATAATTTAAGAAGCGTAATGTTGATGCCATGCCTTTTCATGCTTTTTTATTGAACTATGTTCAGTGATATGGTTTGATTGTGTCATATTTGCATTGCATGAGTTTAATTTGAAAAGCTGCTGAGTAGTCGGGGTTTAGTCTTTATCCCTGTTAAAACTGTGGGGCATAATAATCTGTTTGTAACAATGAACGGCTTTTTCATTGTGCTGATATTGTGGCTGTTGGTCTGAAAAGTCACTGCTGCCATTGTTTTTGGACTTGTTCTGTATGTAATGTAATTGTTTAAGCAGTGACTGCTGTCATGGCTACAGGCTATTGTGTCATGTGTTGACATGTTATTTATATGTAAGTGCCCAGCTTATGGATATGTTCTTACACTTTACAATTGATTGGTTTGACACCGACAAGCAAGTGTTGGTGAAACAATTATCTGGAACATAACATTTGTTTTATGTGGTGCCAAAGGCCCCACGAGGTGAAGGAAATAGTTAAATATGTGAGCAGTTCCGATCTTTATGATAGAAGTCTAGAGTTTGGCAAATTAAAATGCAGCCCAGCCCATGAGTTGTGGCCTGTCACTGTGCCTGTGATGGTGCTCTGCTTGTTGTGGTATATTTAATGATACCACCATACACTAATAGAAATGTTAGCAATCTGACAATATATGTAATTAAAGAGTGCAAAAGTGCAACTTGCTGTGTGATGAGATGTAAAAGTAGCTGCCAGATTTTTACTTGTTTAACCAGGCGAGATGAGGAGAATGTGGGCTTCCTGTGTTCAGTTCAGCTGCAGGATATTTTGTGGATATTTAAAATGAATTGTTTGTTTTGCACAGAGGTAATGAAATTCTGATTGCTTTGACAAAGAATGCATTTCGGTCAGCAAAGCAGTAAGACACAGACGGTCTGAAAACGTGCGTCAGGTTTGCAGTCATCTTCCAATACACACATTTAACCCTCAATACACCAGACGCATTTTGTGTGATCGAATTGCCCATAAAAAGACATTTCAATCATGTGCTGTTGCATCCTTTACATCTGGGACTAATCTGAGAGACACTTTAATATTTAACCTCATGTCATGTTTTGTTGTGTTGTGATGCATGTGCTTCTCCTCTCCAAAGGTAGTGTAAGAGGGGAGAAGGTCTAGGGCAGGGCCTCTCGGTGAAAATGATTTTCACATCAGCAACACATTTACCCTTGAAGGGCCACTCGTAAATGGAAGCCTGTACAAATGTAACTACTCCATTAAATACTAATCAGTGTTTCCGCAATCGATTATTACTTATTCAAGTTACATATATTGTACATTGCTCTGTGTAATAAAAATTTTAATATACATTTAACATTTTAATTACATGAACTTTATTGTAAGACAATTAAATGGTTTTTAAGTCCCCACAGGTCATGCAAAATGACTCGATGGGCCCTATCTGACCCATGGGGCTTGAGTTTAACACCATGTGATCTAGGGTATTAAAAGTCTCTTCCTAAACATACATAAAACAACACACGACAAAGTTAATTTGGCAGATGATTAAGCAATTATTTCTAGGTTTTAATCCTGACATAAAAACACTTTTGTGTCTGCTAACAGAAGAAAAGCAGTGTCATGTCTTCTTTTACTAATGGGGAAATCAGAGAGAAACCTTTCAGCTGATCTGGATTAACATTTTAGCCTATGAAGTTAAATCTGTACTATTATATATTATTAAACAGCTGTCCCAGTTGTAGATGGAGAGTGACAGCCAGTCATCTGATCAGTGATGGATTCAACCAGGAGATTTTTTTAATCTTTTGAATCTACGAAGTGACATCAGGTCATTAACACCACACTCGTGTTTTTTGCTGGTCCCCTTTTAATAGTCTTTTTTCATGTGTGGCATAATTCACATTCCAATTTTCTGCTGTTTAGTTTCCATGCTGTGGATGTGGCACCTCTTCTAGCCTAGCTTTATCGCTGAACTGTTCACAAACATTTAAACAAAGTCACTGTGTGTGGATTTAGTATCCGTGGCTGTTTTGCAGTTATTGGTTCCAGCTGGGCAGAGTAAACTCACATTAGAGCCTTATGCTGACTTGTGTTGGTTCACATAATCACAAAAGGGAGAGGAGTATTCACATTGACATTGGCATTTTGATTTTAGTGCCGTACCATTTGTTTTCAGCACAGCTACTGAGTTGTACAGCTCTCTTGATGCTTGACAAGCGCTCACTTACTCTTTATTACTGGAGCATCTGCTGTGTGTGTCATTTTTTGTATTTCTGTTGAGATGGGTTCATCTTAAATTTGGTGGGTTTTTTTTTACAACTTGATCCTAGTTAGAGGCTGCTGTGAAGTTCATGAAAATTCTGCATTAGTTTGGTTATTAAGGCAACTCTCTGTTTTTTCTCCGAAGTTACACAGACAAATAAAATACTTGCTGTTAAAATTAAATAAAGCACTTCACCTGCAGAATTAATTGCATTCATTTTATTGATGTGAAGCCACCAGGGATGCTACAGTGTTGTTTATTTACAATAAAAAAATATTGGGAACAAATACTGCAAAGAGTATTTATAACTCATGCAGTATTACTTGCAAGGTAGATGCACAAATTGCAAAATATTTTGTTCTATGTTGAATTTATGTTGACAAAGGCATTACCAGAAAGTTGCCAGATTATTTTTTACCAAAAAGTTGCCAGATGAAGTGGCTCTGACATTGACACCGCAAAATATGCTGAAGCAACAGTCCCTGGTATTTTGGTTTGGACAAAGACGTGATTCACAGTGGGATTATTGTACGTGTGAGCGAGGCTGGGAGAGAGAGCTTAATTCTTTACTGCATGCCTTTTGCATATTTCTTTGTTTGGCCTACAGACCCATTGATCTGGGCACAATACAACCAGTCAAATATTAATGTTTATAATACATCAGGGTGTCATCTGTGGCATGTGTAGTCCACACATTTGTATGTCAATTGTTGTTACAGTGAACAGAAAATATTTTGCACATTTGAATGTAGCACATTTTAGTGGATTTATTTTCTTGAAGACTATTTTATTTTCCCACTTTCCTAAGTAACAGTATTTTTTTCACAGTTAAGTCACAGTTACATAATCCTATCATGTTAAGTGATTTGCTAAGTAATGCTAATGTTTTACTTGGGTTGACATTTTTCATCAGAATTTCAAATTTGTTTGGTTTTCTAGCAAACTCAAACCAAAACTTTACCTGTTTTTGGACATGTTTTGAAAAAGTTGATATCACATTGTCTGTTACAGCACACTAACTGCAACTCAACCATTTATCATTTTATTCCTATAGCGATAAAAAGGTGACCATTAGTTGTTTTGATGTTGGCAGACAAGTTTTACAATCCTTTATGGAATCTACAAATATGTTTCAGCATTTCTCCAAGGTTTACGGCTGGGGAGCATATGGTGGGGGGTAGACGGACAGTAACGCGCTCTGTGTCTTCTGGAGGGTGCATGCTCACCTGTGTGTGAGCGCACATATCTATCTGTGTGTGTGTGTGAATCAGGTCATGACATGTTTTCAAATATTACACAAATAACACAAGTTTAAACAGAGTCAACAACACAGTCAAAAACACATGTCACATAAACTAGATTCAAATGCTACAATTATTATGATCTGTGGTGTAACAGACCTGCCTCCTACGCTTTTCACAGTAAAATAAAAACAGCAGCAATTGCCTTTAAAAAAATTCTAAAACAAGAAAATGCACAAATACCACGTTCTTCTTTTAAACTAGATACAGCTTGAGAATTTTGTACAGTACTTGTTGTGATAGCAGCAGGTCTGCTTTAACAGCTGACATATTTTAGTGGGAAAAAGAACAGGTTTTATATTTTCACTCATGGCTTAGTTCATGAAAGTTCAGACAGTGTGGTTGTGAGTAACTGTTGATTGTAACTAAGGAGAAAATGGAACTACGACACAAAAACATAAGCTGCGTGTTC